TACTTACCTTTCACAACTTAAGGTTGAATGTAATAACTACCAAAATTAAAAAAGTATAATATGCAATTAATGTACTCAGTTATCGAGCTTGTGAACTAAAATAAAGTGAAGGAGCTAAGAAAACGTGCATGTGGCAGATAAAAAATAAGAATATTGGCAAAAATTGACCTCGATGCAGTAAAAAGGCTTTGATATAGAATCGGAAATACAACCGTAACCGTGTTTCTTGTCAGTTTTCTAGTAAATAAAATTGGTTTGATTCTAACATCTGCACTATAGACAAATGGACATAATACCCACAGTAAAGAGAAATGCTTTAGACTAGCTATTACATCTAAATAGATTTGATAGTAGAGCTTTTCTCAGTATATTCACGTGAGTGACCCGCGTTTTTACTTAATTTAGATTTGATAGCTGATGAAAGAAATGGTTGAGAAAAAAACCTAACAAAATCTACTTAAAAAAAGTAATTGCTATGCAAGTGGTTGTCGTACAAACGAACGCAGACTACCTATTAAATCTAAATATATGTGTTTGATAGGTGACGAACTAACGAACTAAATGGTTCAGAAGAACACCAAACAAGATCTACTTAAAAAAGTAATCGCTATGTAAGTGGTTATGATACAAACGAATGCAGACTACCTATTAAATCTAAATATAATATGTATTCGATGGGTGACGAACTAACGAACTAAATGGTTCAGAAGAAAACCTAACAAGATCTACTTAAAAAAGTAATCGCTATGTAAGTGGTTATCGTACAAACGAACGCGTTCCAACACAAACTACGAAGAGAGACCGAAGAAATAACGACAGATTTGTAGGTGTTAATAATAGGTAAACACATTGTGAACGATTAACTGCTTGCGTCTGGGCCAACGCGAACGCGCTGAATTTACGAGGGAACACTAGCGCTCGCGTCATCTTAGCAGTACAACGCAGCAGATCAAAATATCCAAATTTGTCAATTTTTTCCAAATGATTCTGAACTTTATCACAAAGAGATAAAGCTGGTATTCAATTAAGATATTTGACAGTTTAGGTAAGGTTCACGTGCTAGTATTGGTACGGTTTTGCACACCATTCAACGGTTGATAGCATGACGCGGAATATTATTAGTTTGGGAACACATGGTACGGAAACGGCCTGACGTTTATGTTTGAATGACTTACTGACACTTCTAATTTTATAGATCCTTGTTCAGACAAGTTGCATGGATTTGTTTTCAGTAGTTTTTGAGTAAATGAGTTACAAAGATAGGCCATGTGGTTAAAGTAGAGGGGCAAAGTACGTTTATCACCACGCCCGCTCATCCCATATGTGTTGTGAGTGCCGAATAAAGGACCACATAATTATAACAAAGAGAAAATAGTAAATCTCTTTATCCACTGTGATATGGCAAAAAAGCCTTCCTTTTTTTCGAGGAGACGAATGAGGAGGTGATCCAGCAGTAAGTAGGTTGTCACTAACTATTACGTGTACAAATTTAAATGTTGACAATTATAATAATCCTTACTTATATTATAAATCGGAAAATGAGTTTGTTTGTTTGTTTGTTCCACTTTCACGCCGTAACTACTAAACCGATTGCTTTGAATTTTTGCAGACGTAAAATTAGAAGTCCGGATTAAATAATAGGGTACTTTTTATCCTGGAAAAATTTTATATTCCCGAGGGAAAATAAAAGTATTAGTATAGATAACGCTGTATGTATTGATATATGTCACATAGGTTACTTTTATCCATTTGTGACGCGAGCGAAGCCGTGGGTAAAAGCTAGTAAATTATAAATTCAAAAATGTATATTTGTCTGTTTGTTTCTAACTCCTGCAAACCAAAATGGTGGAAAGGATTGTGATAACATTTGGAATAAGGGTAGATTATGGTCTGCAATAACACATAGGCTAGTATACTATCTGCCGTTAGCATAAGCTAGTATCTATAATATAGGATTTTATTTTTTAAGGGGGGAAAATCATCCAATGACTGCTCCCGCCTGGGTGAGGCGGAAGGGAGTATCAGACTCTTACTGACTAAAAACCACCCCGTTCCTTCCCCTGCACGTCCGGCTCAACAGCCGGAGCCCCGGTTACCCGTTAGGTTTTCCGCGACATCTATAATATAGGATAGAATTCTACTTCACTGCCATAATAACAATATCCTTAAAACACCAATATTGTTAAAGGAATTTGAATAACCATCAATCTACGTTCCGGTAATTAATTCTTTCCTAATTTATCTGTGTCACCGAAACTCGTAAATACGCCAGTTTTGTAGGGAAACCTACAAGAAATGGCTTTCAAACTCTCAAAAGTTTAATTTTAAATAATTTGCGACGACGTAATCAAAATTAATGGGCCAATAAGATAATCTGTGATAATATATATAAAGATGTCAAAGCTATTTACTTAATTAGTAATATTTTAGAGCCTACATGATATTTATATCAACACAAATAATGCAGTCCCTAATTAATTTAATGTTTTAATTCATTGTCTACAAAATAAATTCTTAGACGCAAATTAAACATTTGAAACAACACAACATAACATCACGCCATTTATCCCTAAAGGGGTAGGCAGAGGTGCCCATTACAGCACTTAATGCAATACCCACTTTTAACTATTTATTTTATATGGCCTATGTAATAGGGGTTAATGCCATATACCGGCCACTAATCCAGACTCCATACTACTACTGAGATTAAAAAAAAACACAAGTAATTCATTGCACGACCGGGAATCGAACTCGAGACCCATTGCCCGGCAGTCGCACTTGTGACCACTCGGCTGTCGAGACAGTCACACATAACAGAATATTTAAAAATAGTTTAAACCGCAGTGATAGTAAAGGCCTCTCAAATAAGGGGCTTCATCATAATCTCATGCATTTGAAATCTATGTTTAACAAATTTGAATTAGATTATAATCCAAACTTTTTATTTGCTTTCGTGAGACATACTAAATAAATTATTATGTTTTCGGCTTACTCACGTAGTAATAGAGTCGCCGCGTCGCGGGTCGCGAAATGCTGCTCCTGAATATGAGCCTCTAGCATGGCTTGAAACTAGTCGAGTTCCTCGTCGAATTACTACGTGAGTAAGCCGAAAACATAATAATTTATTTAGTATGTCTCACGAAAGCAAATAAAAAGTTAAAAAGCTAACCATAATTTATAATTACCACTATATGTATACCTATCTCTCTGTCTGTTTATCAGTCCGTGACTCAAACACTATCACACTAAAAAGAATTCGTATTTCAGGAAATACCCAATACACGTAAAAGGAGTAAAACGTCAATAAAGATCTAGTAATTTAACGGTAAAAACCTAAAAAAAATATATTCTGAACAAGACTTCTATAGTTGATCATTTTTATTTAACCATCTGTAATACCCACTCATTGTTATGTGAGAATTAATTAAGAACTGAACTAGAAAAATACCCATACAGAATTCCACTTCAGCATTCCACTCGCATAGAATGAAAAAAGTATTTTAATATTAGAAGTCATTAGGGGCAGACTCCCTGTTATAAAAATACCACACATTTAGCGGTGGCAGTCATATTATGCGACGTTTCTAAATACTTTGAATTCAGTTCAATATTTGACTGTATATTTCGTTATTGAATTTTCATACATAAGATATTGCAACCATGGTAAACAAATGTTTTTATAATAACTATCGTGAGACATACTAAATTAACTAAAAATCGCGGGTTACTCAAATGAATATACTGAGAAAAGCTCTGCTAGTTTCGAACCACAGAGGGGTTCTTCCTCATGAGCAGCATGTGCTGTCACGGCGATGTCATGCAGCCTAGTTTAGTTAATATGGTAAACAAAATTGAGACCACAGGTAACTGCCCGTAAATGTCCTAAAAGCTGACACACCAAGTTCACATCTGAACGAGACCGGGTATCAGCACTCTAGGTATAACAACGATGTCGATTACGACAAACACTCTAATGTAGACGAGGCTCATTATCCAGGAGTGTAATTTCATGGGCTATTGACGGTGATGATGAAACAAACCAGTATTTATAAAATTCTTGATAAACAATAACATTTTCTTCGCCCTTGTATCAGTGTAAACAATTTTCCACATAAATTAACCTCTATCTATCAACCTTTTCGTCTGCTGACGGATGAGCATTAATTGTAGATTAAATCCTTGGCTGTTCTTAACTAAGAAAAGAAAACAACGCTGTAGTAAAGTAAACCAGCGGGAACTAATGGACAAACTGAGTGAGAAAAACCAGAAGGTGGCAAGTAAAAATAATAAACAAACACGATTTTCGTTTCCAACAGTGTTAAAATTCACGTGAGATTTTCAAACATTTCACATTTTTTTTATGTATTATCTGTGAACAACATAGTAGGTATACTAAACCGGTTTTTCGTTACCAGCCAGTTGCAGCTGATAATTTTCCAAGACTTTTTCGTCGACTTTTTCAACGAGCGGTAGCATTGTTTAGAAATGGACTGCTATTTTCGCTTCGCCCGTCAGTAAAAAGCGAAATTTCAAAGGAATGTGAACTAGGCTGAAGTTGTTGTGGTTAGCTTTGGTCTAATAAAAGGAACGATTGTTTGAATTCACTAATGCATACTGGAATTATTATGCTAAACAGTTGTTTAATGCCGCGTTTCCTATCGGAACTTTTCTCTCGCTAGTTACGAAAAATAGATCAACGTTATTACAACGCTTTCGTTCTGACATAAAATGTTAGTTGGTCATGTATTTTTGACTTCTATCATTAACTGAGACAAGGTCATGTATCATAAATACTCTCTATTTATAAGAAAGAAATTTATCATTTTTATTACCATCAGAAATAAAACAATGGCTTGACAAAAACATTGGAATATGTTCCACAGAATCTTCTATCGCCAAGTTTCTATTATCTGTATGTAAGCTGCCAACAGTCATATTAAATGATTTACGGTTTTGGCTGATTTATATTCAAATACCATAGAGTATGAATTGCGACTTACTTGTATAAAATTGTCCCGTGAGGTTTGAAATGTTCGGGGGTGCCTCTTTAGGCGTAATAGTCTTGTTAGGTTGGAAGACGTATCTGCACATCTCCCACACTCCAGTATTGCTGTACATGAAGTACCGGCCCGTGGGCAGGTAAATTCCTGGAATCAAGGAACAAATTGAGCAGGGGACAATCGCTCGTGTTAATGACTCCACGCGATCGTTTGGCACACTTCCAAACAGTTAGCAAGTAGTAATTAATATAGATCAAAAACATAATTCGGTGTTCATATGTGCCAAGTCGTTTTACGTCGATTTGTGAAGTGGTTTTATAAATGTTCGAGCGTGTAATTCGATGTCTGATTTTTTGATACGTTAGTGACTCATAAATAGCGTTGGACACGTCTTTATTGAAACTTTTTGCTCGCATGTGTCGGCACATGTGTTGGAATGAGAACTGTAACAAATATTTGTTCTAATGCCCCATACTTGTTGCACAATACTATTGGAACTTGTGACCTAGTGACAAACTTTTAGTTTCACTTTAGACTTTACTCTCCGCGTCGGCGCTGTAGGGCTATATTGGAAATTTTAAGAGTGTTGTTTCAATCATTTTGTTATTTAGTCACCGTACAATATTATTACGTAGAGATAGGTTGTAGATAGATATGTTTTTAAGTGTGGGAGAGCCATGCTTCAACACGAATGGGCCGGCTCGACCGGAGTAATAGTAATACCACGGCCTCACAGAAAACTGACGTTAAGCAACGCTTGCGTTGTGTTTCGTCGTGTGAGTGAGGTTACCGGAGGCCCAATTACCCTCCCCTTCCCCAATCTCCCCAATTCCTGAATACCCAACGATCCTCAAACTCCTAATCCCCAAAAGGCCGGTAACGCACTTGTAACGCCTCTGGTGTTCCAGGTGTTAATGGGCGACGCCGATTGCTTACCATCAGGTGATGCGTCTGCTCGTTTACCGACTTATACCATAAAAAAAGATAATGTTGACTCAGAACACTGATCTAAACTGTATCGATTTGCAAATAGTAGTTTACTAAAACAAAATTACGTAAATTCATAGGCCATTCAATGTCAGCCTTTTACTTGACTTAACAAAAAAGGACTGGCGAAGACGAGACATTTACGACAAGTTTGTGTAATATATTTTTACATCACTTAACATCACGCCTTTTATCCCCGAAGGGGTAGGCAGTGGTGCACATTATGCCACTGTACAATGTACCACCCACTTTTCACTATTTATGTTATGAGTCTCATGTAATAGGGGGTGAGCCTATTGCCATATACCGGGTATAATTCCAGACTCTGTGCTACTACTGAGAACTTTTTAAAAACCCAGCAATACTTGGCTCGACCCGGGAATCGAACCCGTGACACGTTGCGCGGCAGTCAGTTGCCCAACCACCGCGCCAACCATACAGTGTCAAAATGACCAGTCAATAGGCATAAAACAGTTAGGTTTAATCACGGAAAATAGAATAGTACAATCTATATTCCGTGGGTTAAATATTGGTAAGTTAATTCAAATAAGTGCTAAGTCGTACAAACGAATATAATTAGGGAGGAACAGTATCCACGTTGCATCTCGAACGATTTGATGAATGCATGTACCTATGTATCCTTCTTAAACAATAGGCAGCTTACAAATGACAAATGCATCTTGCTTAGAACTAACTATCAAAGAAGCAAAGCGGCAACCTTAATTTTCTTATTTATTTATTTAATAAGTCTTATTAGTTCAGTAACAAATGTACAGGTGGACTTAATGTCTTGGGCATTGTCTCACAGTCGACTTGAGGTGGTGCAGAGATGAAAGTGGCAGGTGACTGAGCAAATGTTGATAATAATAACTATGTAATATAAATACTTACTGAGATACTTATATATACAGTCATTCATATATATGTACACATACACCCAATACTTATACCATATAATAACATAATAAAAGACAACTTTCTTCTTACTGTTTCTTTATGTGTTTTTTAGAGTTTGATTGGGTCGTTAGTAGTATAAAAATGGTAGTTTAATTGAGTAAACAAAGTGCCTATTATAAGGGAGTAAATATTCGCTAACAATATAATATTACCTATATACCTATTTTGTAAAATTTTCCACTGGCTCCTACTACTGTACTATTAAAAAAATATTCCATCAGACAGTGCGTAGGCTCAGTCTTGTTGGCAAGCACTTTTGTTAAAGAACAAATTATATAAGCAATTAATCACTTTTTAGTTCGAAAAACTTCCTAATTTATTCAAATTCATAACTAGCTGTTGCCGGGACTTTGTCCGCGTAGAGTATGAGTTTTAGGACATAGGTACGTTGTTATGGTTCAATTTTACAATATAAAAATAGTCTATGTTACTCCTCAATACGTCAGCTACCCGCCAGTAAGTAAAAGTTCTGCCAAAATGGGTCCATCCATTTCAGAGATTATCTAGTACAAACAGACAGATAAAAAAATTAAAAACAAAAATTTTTTTGCATAAATATCGTATGTATATTCATATGCATGTAGTAAAAAGCAGTTGTTTCAATATTACAAACAGCCACTCCAATTTTATTTATCTGTATAGATTTTTTCAGTCAAAGTTTATGTTGACTTTAGAATAATGTTAATATTATTAATTCATCTACTTATCTAATAAATAGCAAAGATGGCTTTCATTTGGTAACTTTTAAGTAATTACTTAGGTATTCATTGACCTAAATTTAATTTTTCAGTTCGAAATCACAAACATATTATTAAATATAAACATATATTTATAACTCAAGAAGGGCTAAATCGATTTGGATGAAAAAAAATGGGGAGGTAGCTTAGCACCAGGAGACAGATATAGGATACTTTTTATTCAATACTTTTTATCGAAAATGGTGAACGGGACGGGAGAAAACGGAATTGCGCGTACGAGTCGCTAACTAACAGAAATAAGATCTCTTTCATTATTTGAAGCTAGTACCATAAGTCCGGTAAGTAGTTTCCCACACCTCTACCCACCAGTTCCAGTAAGGTGTGAAATTGTTTTACAAAACATTTACTAAGAAATTATTTTGTCTTCTATTTCTCATAAACGTTATAGTGTCGTTTATTAATTTTTGCAGAACAAGATCATAGTAAGAATTCTCTGAAATACGTAAAGCGTGAAGTCAGGTAGGTTGTAGGTGTTGAACTATTTACGCCGACTAAACGACCGACTGTGACGTAATAGGTACATACACAAAAATGTCGATTCAAATCGCTGAAGAACGCTCGTGTTTCTGGCAATAATTCAAAAAAACAATACAAGCTATTCGACCACTATCTACATGTCATAACTTCACTTAGGTATGGGGAACAGGAATAGATCAAAAGGGCGATGACCCCATAACTATAATTCTATAATTAATATCAAACTGCCCGAAGCGCGGTATATGATTTTCCTAATTTAAAACAACAGTTACTAAGCTTGGGTTCTCCTATGAATAGACCGTCCCATCACTTCCTACGGATGCCGTAATAAATGAATGATGAAATTGCTACGATGAGTTATTCGAGTTCTTCTTAGATGTAATATTTCTTTGTAGATTCCCAAAATATTTAGATATATCTGTATAAATGTCTTCATAATGTAAAATTTTATTCAATTTCATTTCAATGTGCTATGGGACATAACATTATCATTCGAACAGAAGGAAGCTGCATTGAAAAAAATAAAATTTTTTGGTATTCTCTGAAAGGGTTTGCATAGGTTTATTTGTACATTCACTTTTCACCTGTTGTCTAAATGTACAACAGAAAACACCATCAATTCTTTTGGTAGTGTAGGTACTCTAGTCGACTAAACCAATACTACAGTACGTAATTCAATATCACAGCACAAATTGCGTAAAAAAACTATAACAGTTCACCAGACTGAACTCATCTAGTTGTCATCGCCATAAGGTTTCGTTAGACATCTCTAAGGTCGAAGAAAAACATTGGAACTATGTGAAATACCTTGTGCTATTGTTGGCTGTTTAAAAAAACATATTTCTTCAAAATGTCCGCCGTTCACCGGTTGATGGATTACAATGGAAAAATGTGTATAGTTGTTACACTTTGCATTTAATAGTGTTTTTTTTATCTGATACGACATTAGAATCAATTTTGTTTGTTCCATTGTCAAAATTATTCATCTTAGCGTTATTCAGAGTCAATTACACACATGAATAAAACCTGAAAAACTGTTGCAGTTTAGTATTGCCAATTTCACTAGGAAATAATATATATTTTTTTTTATGTCCCGATAGTATTGTTATTTATCTCTTCTGTACAATATTTATTACAGACATCAGACCACCACAGATGGGGTTTAATAGGGCTGATGCTGATACGGACCCGCGGAAGACTGAATGGATTGCCGGGGCTCCGGCTCGAAGCGCAGGAGTAGGAACGGGGTGGTTTTTAGTCAGTAAGAGTCTGACACTCCCTCTGGCCTCATCCGGGCGTGAGAAGTCATTGGATGATTTTCACCCTCAAAAAATAAAATGCCTCACCCCCAATAACATAGAAGTCATGACAAAAATATTATGTGTACGAACCCTTAAAGTCAAAAGTCAAAAGTCAAAAGTCAAAAATCATTTATTTCAATTAGACCAGGAAGGCACTTTTGAACGTCAGCAATAGAAATTTAAAAATGAAGCTATTTGCTCATTCCAAGGTGTAGATTCCTATGGAGAAGAACGAGCAAGAAACTCCATAGGTTACCTTACCCTATGTTATACAACCAGGTATAAGTTGCGACTATAATCAAACCCAATCATATTTCCCACTATTATAATTTTGCGATATTAAACAGACAAATCAATTCAGATAGCTTTATCTGTATAACGACGTATTGAAATATACGTGAATAAATATTTACAATAGTAATTAATCATTCTTGATGTAGGTATAACATTAATATAGAGGTTTCATTTTGTAACGACTTAACAACAAATATGATTGTTTGATATGATTGTTGATGTACTCGAAGATTAACTTGATGACAACTAGATAATGTTTTAAAGAATAATATAATATAATAAATAATGTTTTAAAAAAAAGTTTTAAAGAATCTTAGTTTTGTTTTATTAAAGGTGTTCGGAGACTGCCTCGTGCCCCGAGTGGTCGCAAGTACGACTGCCAAGAAAGGTGTCTCGGGTTCGGTTCCCGGGTCGGGCAAAGTAATACTGGGTTTAAAAAAAATCTCAGTAACACGGAGTCTGGAATTGTGCCCGGTATATGGCAATAGGCTCACCCCCTATTACATGGGACTCATAACATAAAAATAGTGAAAAGTGGGTGTTATATTGTACAGTGGCATTATGTGCACTTGTGCACCTCTGCCTACCCCTTCGGGGATAAAAGGCGTGACGTTATGTTATGTTGTAAAGGAGTTCGGTAAAAGATATACACCCAAATACTAAAAAGCTACTCAAATTTAAGCCGCCCTTAAGAACATATAGTTCTATCACAACAAACTCTACCTTCTTTCTTTTTATTTCATTTCATTTAAAATTGACTATTGAGTATAGCCTTTCAATATTCGGGCGATAGAGTTTAATCATTTACATGGAGTAGATCATTCGGTCTACTTTAGATTTAATTCTAGTCATAGATATTTAAAGTATAAAATGCGATAAAAATATACAAAACAGATTTCTCTTAATGAATTACTCATTAATGAAAATGGATATAATTTATATTTCATAATCAACAAATCTCACGGGTAATTAGTGATGTATTACTATCAAAATGTTTCCATTAAATATCCGTCAAATTGATATGTCCGCGAATTAATGTACACACGACTAGACATTGAGCTACAAAAATCCAGTGTAACATGATCCCGCTTTGTATGATCTTGCCGCACGTTCAATGATCAGTTTATGCTGGTCAGTCATAGCTTGATGTGAAACCATACAGACATGCAATTCTGACAGAGTATTTACTGAAATTGATGAGCTTACATAAATATTCTGTCACACATGTCTCATATATCCGGAGGCAAGGGAAGAAGATTTAATAAATTAGTTTTTAGTATGTCAGTTAAACCGAAGACGGTTCGAAAATTATTTTCAATGATGACGTCAGTACAATTTGAGTTTAGTGATGATTTATATTTTCTATTATTATAGGTAACTGAAGTCATCTTCCACATATAACTAATCGGTGCCTATTTAAAAGTAATATTGTTTCAATAACCAACCATACTCTCAGTAGTACTAAAATTTTCTACTACCAACTTGAATTATAAGTGAATACAACAACCATTAAATTTCCTTTAAAAAAAAACATTGTTTCACTCTAGGATTTTCTCCTAGGTGCCTTTACGTATCTACAAGTTCACATACACATGACAGCCAGACCCGAAACAACTACTTATGGATCACACAGAGTTGCTCCGTGCGTGAATCAAACCCGGTACACGTTGCATGGCAGCCGGTTGCCCAGGCACCACACCAAAAGTGCAGTCAAAAAATTCTAGTCAACTAGATACTATTTGTTTATAAGGAAAAAAGTCAAAGTATTTATTTAAATTAACCATAATTTGGTACTTTTGAAAACGTCAACAAATACAAAATAATTAATTTTCTGTCAGTCTTTCCGTTAGTGAAGATAGGTCGCAACGATCTACATTTTGCGTAGATTCGAATGGAGAAAAACGAGCAAATTTCCATTCGTTACTCTTTTAAGACCCAAGCTTCGGCACGAATGGGCCGCTCGACTGGAGTGATACCACGGCATCACAAGCAACCGGCGTGAAACAACACTTGCGTTTTGTTTCGCTCTGTGTGGTACTCAAAACAAAGCCATCGACGTGCTCCATCGTAGACCCATCGGCCTACGATGGCCCATTGTAGGACGTCGGCCCATCTTTATATTATTATATATAATTCTGCTGTACGTGTGTATGTCATTGAACTTCTCCTAAACGGCTTGACCGATTTAAATGAATTTTTCTGTATGCGTTTGGGTGGCGCCCTGGATGGTTTAGATTCACTAATCAGCCCGGCGAATGGCGCTGCAGTCGAGATCTAGGTTAATTTTTTTTCTATACCTATTATTATCATATAATATGCAGGACAACGTTTGTCGGGTCCGCTAGTTAAATATAAAAAAACCAACCCTTGGATCGAAGGAAGTATAAAATTATACCATAGTATTTAGCGAGCACATTATTTTGTTACTGTCTAACGATCCGGGAAGTAATGTATTCTTGCCCGTATCCTCATCAATCATACTGCTAATGTATTCGTTACACGTTCAGTAATCATCCTTGTCATCCTGCAGTGTGTGCCAGGTTTAGAACAACGATACATTATTATAGCAAATTTTTAATGGATATTTTTGGTTTTTATACCTACTTCTTACTTATAACAGTGCTTTATAGCAGGCTTTTTTTAAGGGGGGAAAATCATCGAATAACTGCTGCCGTCTAGGTGAGGCGGGAGGGAGTGTCAGACTCTTACTGACTAAAAACCACCCCGTTCCTTCTCCTGCACGTCGAGCCGGAGCCCCGGTTACCCGTTAGGTTCTTTTATACTAGGCTAGGATAAGTCAATTCAATCCTTATTTTGTATTACATTATTTAGTTTTTTGAAAAACTAACCTTCGTTAGTAATAACTGTAAGATCTAAATTCAACTACTAGCAATATATAAAACAGATCTTACCGTCTCCACCTTCTATATGCACCCATTTTTCAGTGCATACAGCAGCGATCCAAAGAAAAGTGCACAGCCCTATGAAACATGTGCATCCAAAGAGTATTCGCCTCTCAATAACCAGAGCTTGCAACAGAGGCCGTCTCTCCGCGGCCCCCACTGACGACGCCGTCGACATTTTGTCAGTCTCCATTTTTTATTAATCTGTAACAAATAAAAATAAATAAATGAACCTCATTGATTTCACCGTCTAGTCGCTTACTTGTTAATAAAGTGCTTAATAAAGAAACGGGTCCGTATGGGTAGACAAATCTGTACGGTTGGATACCGACCGGCGTAGGTAAAATATTCTATTTCAATACAATAGGGTAGACGACTAATTTTTATTTTAATGTCCGTCTGATAGATTATTTAAAAACATTAGACACGTATTTTTTATTTTCTCACAGAAACGAATAGTTTCGAAGATATATTGATTTGAAATGTCGCGTGACGTCACTTCTCAGTACATTTTATACTAAGAAATGACGTTTTAGCCCCCACTCCTAAACTTTGATTCGTTTTATCTAAGTATTGTTTTATTATACGACAAAATAAAAAAATACGTGTCTAATATTTTTTCATTACCTAACTTACGGACTAATTATATTTTTAATTTTCATACCCTGTCATCATCCCCATCCCACTTATAGAACAGGTACCGACTGAGCCGAGGGGTAGGTACCGGTTTATCTACCCGTATTGACCTATTTCTTTATGTAAAAACCTTATTGCCGTAAATCTAATAAATGCAATGATTCGTTACCCAACCCACCATAAACTTATTAATATAGTTTAAGATAAGATAAAGTCCTACAAAACACATTTCGATACATGAGACAATATTATTATCTGAAGGAACTGTTTACTTATTCTGCAGATAGCAGATCGCTTAATACGATCGTGTCGTATCTCAATCAGTCATAATCTCATAAAGCCCTCAATATTTCCTTGAAGATGGTATTCATCGTATCAAGATTAGCAGAGAGCTCATTCTATATGATGCATGCGCAGTGGGAGCTTTTTGAAATTAATTATTATCTACAGATTACGCATAAATACCCGATTGCCTCATAGGGATAGCACATAACATAACATCACGCCTTTTATCCCCGAAGAGATAGGCATTATGCCACTGTACAATGTAACAACCACTTTTCACCATTTATTTCATTAGTCCCATGTAATAGTGGGTGAGCCTATTGCCATATACCGGGCACAATTCCAGACTCCGTGCTACTACTGAGAATTTTTTAAAAACCCAGGAATACTTTGCCCGACCCGGGAATGGTACCCGAGACCCCTTGCCCGGCAGTCGCACTTGCGACCACTCGGCAAACGGGGCCGAAGAGGATAGGATTCGTTATCTAAATCTAGTTAAGTGTGAACGGAATCTTAACATAACACAGGTTTTATCAGATAACTAGAACAAAGTGAATGTTAGATAAGGTTTTAATATTCATATCTTTGTCTACCTCTGTCTATACTACGCTACAGTACAAATTTTTCACTCATTCCTCAACAAGCAACCGTGACATTGAAAAGAAACTAAAAATAAACACAAAGTTCGAATGAAAAAATGCTTCGAATAAAAATATTTATTTTCCGACGATAAATTGTTATCGTTGTGACATATTCATTCTAATTTAATGGTATGGCTACATTGTGAAGTTTTAGTGTTAAAATTATGACTTCATTGTCAAGATTCTAATTTGTTGTCGTAATTATTATTTCTGCTTAAAACATTATTCGTCATTAAAAAGACAAAAATAAAACTATCTTAACCAATATTGAAGCAACTTTAACATAATTATGTTTGTTTTTATAGTATAAGCCGGTAAACGAGCCGACGGATCACCTGATGGTAAGCAGTCGGCGTCGCTTATGGACACCTGGAACACCAGAGGCGTTACAAGTGCGTTACCGGCCTTTTGGAATTAGGAATTTGCGGATTGTTGGGGATTCAGGGATTGGTGAAGGGAGGGGGGCGGGGGTAAATGGGCCTCCGGTGTATATGCCAATAGCTTGTTCCGCATTAAATGCTTTTCTTTACATCCGTCTGGGTATCTACTATAATTATTATGCTAATGTCAAAATACAGTATTGTGAGTAGTGCACTTAAAATACAGACATTAATCTTATTACCTGGGATTGTTGACGCAATGATTTATTCACTCAAAGTACTGAGACAGTTCTGATGAAAATTTCCGTTTCAAAGATCAGTCCCAGTCACTCAGAATTATAAATGACTCTAGTCCAGTTCAATAATGATGCAATTTTGAGATGCACAGGCTTATAGCACAGCGGATTACATAAAGAAATGATGCGCAACAGTATACTTGTTTTTTTTATAGTATAAGCCGGTGAACGAGCAGACGGATCACCTGATGGCAAGCAATCGGCGCCGCCCATCGACACTCGAAACACCAAGGCGTTACAAGTGCGTTATCGGCCTTTTGGGAATTGACAATTTGAGGATTGTGGAGGATTCGGGAATTCGGAAGACTAGGGAGGGGGGTAATTGGGCATCCGGTAACCTCACTCACACGACGAAACACAACGTAAGCGTTGTTTCACGTCAGTTTTCTGTGAAGCCGTGGTATAACTCCGGTCGAGCCGGCCCATTCGTGACTAAGCATGGCTCTCCCACACTTAGAAAAGTTTGGTAGCTAATATTTTTAAATGGTGAACAATTTTACTTATTTTCAAGTGTACTGTCCCAATTTGTACACGTCGCCTGTCGTCATAGTAAATGTTATAGACAAATAAAATATTATTTTGTAATCTTAGTCAAAACGTTAGGTTACATCCAATATTATTTTGTTCTCGATTTTGTGATGCAGAAAATGGTAATACAGTTTTTTGCAGAAAATACATAGTTATGTTGATGTACAAATGACATACAAGCGTTAACTTAATCAAGACCTAAGGATATCGTACGACTACTGAGTAAAGGACGGTTAAAACTAAGTATCAACCTCAAACTAATTAGAAAACAGAGCCGCGGAGAACCTAACGCGTTACCGGGGCTCCGTCTCGAAGTGCAGGAGTAGGAACAGGGTGGGTTTTAGTCAGTAAGAGTCTGACATTCCCTTCCGCCTCACCCAGGCGGGAGAAGTAATTCGATAATTTTCCCCCCTTAAAAAAAATAATTAGAAAACGACTAAGCCAAAAAACATGATGGCAAAAGCTAACAGCAAAGCAATGAACACATATTGTTATAGTTGATACAAATTCAAGTAGGCACTTTAGCTCTTAGCACTCGAATGTATTTGCAAAGGGCTCACTAAAGTCAATAAGCATTGTTTATTACGAATACGAAAGTGCTATAAAAGATAATGCGACCGTGAAAAGCGATGACGTCACTTGGCTATTGGACACCACTGTTCGTGTAACAGCTTTCAAGAACTTTGAAGGCAGGATCGGAAACATTGTTCAAGTGTTAATTTTATTGGAAAAATTACACAACATAAGTGTTTGATGAGAAAAAAATTAGTAGCACTTTTAACTTAAAATCGCGGGTTACTCACGTAAAAATACGTGTCATAAATAAATAAAATGCGTGTACAAATTGTGCGCGTAATAAATAAAATAGATGACACAGCTAATGACATCCCTGCGACCGCGCACATTGCTTGTGAGAAAGAACCCCTCTGTGGTTTGAAACTAGTAGAGCTTTTCTCAGTATTTTCATGTGAGTAACCCGCAATTTTGAGTTAATTAGTATATCCCACGATATTATTGTGATAGAAGTAGCACTTTTACCTAATTCAGTTTAGCAATTTCAGACTTCGTAAATATCTTTGTAGGCCCCAGTAACGCCATGACTCTTAAGCATTGTGTAGGCTACTTTTATGGAATAGTAAAACTATATACTACTAGCTTCTACCAGTGGCTTCGCCCGCGTTGCCGTGGGATTAGAAGTAGCCTATATGTTATTTCAGGCTATAATCTACTCCTATTCCAAATTTCATCTCGATCACTTCAGCCGTTTTGACGTGAAATAGTTACAAACACACACACACACACACACACACACACACATACATCCTCACAAACTTTCGCATTTATAATATTAGTAGGATTCTATGGCTGCTTTAGATATGACTGTTATGAGAAAAGCAATGGGAGAATGCTCACATGTTTCAGAATAGGCTAATAGGTCCTTGCCAGAATCGACCAGATCGACAAATAAAATGTTTATTTTTTTTTTAACGTTGCCCCACCCTAGGATTTTCTCCTGTGTCGTGGGTGCGTTTACAAACATACAAGTTCACATAACACAATGACACCCAGACCCGCAACAACAATTTGTGGATCACACAAAGTGTTGTCCCGTGCGGGAATCGAACCCGCGACACGTTGCACGGCAGCCGGTTGCCCAGCCACCGCACCAACCGTGCAGTCACATAATAAGTGTCAGCATAAATAAACGAGTACTTTTGATATGTATGTCTACTATCTAAAAATTAAAACATCGGATTTGCTGTGCCCTAGAAAACTCTGCCGATTACATCTTTTGTAGTCAGCCAATGACGTCACAGTGTTTACAACTCGCTACTTAGTTGTACACCGTCGACGATACCGTTTTAATAGCTTTCCTCAAACTGTTCCAGCATATAATCATTGTGCTACTTATACATCGTATCTCTAAACGTATGAACGTCGAAAATAGCAGCTATTTTCAGTTGCGCCAGTATTTAAACGATTATTAGGTAACTCTAGTTATAATGGAGGATAGAAGACAAGCATTGAAGTCGGTTTTAAATAGTGTTAGTATTTCTGATCGTTATTTTGAGTAAATCTAATTGCAATAACAACAGAACGTAATGAAAAAAATGTTAACGAGTGCTATTGATCGAATACATTTATGTTAATCGAAGTTTAATATATTACATAAAATAACATAACATAGCATCACGCCTTGTATCCCCGAAGGGGTAGGCATTTTTTTTTTTTTTATACTGACTTTTTTTTTATAAGAGTCTGACACTCCCTTCCGCCTCACCCAGGCGGGAGCAGTCATTCGATGATTTTCCCCCCTTAAAAAAAAAAAAAAGAAGGGGTAGGCATAGGTGCACCATTATACCACTGTACAATGTAACACCCACTTTTCACTATTTATGTTATGAGTCCCATGTCATAGGAGGTGAG